AAATTATTTGTAAAAGCACCAAAATTGAATCTCCTTGCAAGAAGATTATAAAATTTGCAAAACATTAAAATAGCCCCCAATTTGAGGAATGAAAGCCGAACGTAAACAAGGATTAGGAAGTGGTGTGATCCTGTTTTGGCAACTTAGTCGTGTTGTAAGGAGGATCTAGTTGGACACATCTTGTCCAAAGTCCTCTGTTATAGTAGCCATGAGAATCCATAGCGTTTGACCGTGGTCTTGGTACATTCTCACACATTTGGAAGGACTGTCAAGGAGCCTTGCCAGTTTTTTAAATTCCAAAATATGCAAGTGAGGGACCACATTTAAATTCCAATGTTACTTTCAACTACATTTTCTATTGGAGTCAGAGATCAGCGACATGAAAAATGGCCATGTAAATACTTACGATTGCTAGTCCAGAGCGAGAGAAGTATGCATTGAATGTTATCAATTAGAAGCGAAAGGACGAATCAAAAGACTTCAAATAAAAGAAGGTTAAATAATAATAAAACTAAATTTAAATATGTAGCAAAGATTATGCCGCTTTTATTTACTTGTCTTCTACCCCGAAGGTAGCACCAATCGGCCATGCGCAGCCAGGCCGTGGAAGAGGCTCCAGAAGGAGATAACCGCGTGGCTAGCATGAGAAGACGAACGGTCCATGAGGAGGCAGAAGCAGCAGAAGGCAGTTCCGTTGCACCACTAGAATAAGCTGTGATAGCAGCTGCAGCAATTCGATCGACGATTGGCTGACCATTTGCCCAAGGTAGCTCGGCAAGGCGACTAAAGTGGTTTAGATGACTGGAAAGCTCACTAGATAGACTACGAGATGAATTAAAGCCTGACTAAAAATTAAGAAAAAAGTAAATCGAAAGCTCATTGGGACATATGATAAACTAGTTATGAGACCTTTCATTAAAAAAGTCGATACATTCTGTGGATATAGAATACAGAATTCACGTTTTATAAACCAGATCTTAAAATTATTTGCAAAAGCACCGAAATTGCATCTCACGGCAAGAGGATTATAAATTTGCAAAATATTAAAATAACCCATAATTTTATCATCATCTAATTCAGGAATTAAAACCGAACGTAAACAAGGATTAGAAGGCGGTGTGATCCTGTTTTGGCAAATTATTCGTGTTGTAAGGGGGATCTAGTTGGACGCATCTTGTCCAAAGTTTTCTGTTATAGTAGCCATGATAATCCCTAGCGTTTGACCGTGATCTGGGTACATTCTCAGACGTTTGGAAGGACTGCCGGGGAGTCTTTCCAGTCTCAGCAACAAGCTATAACACGTAAGAAACAAATGAAAACAAAGCCTTGACGAACTTTCCGCGGAACAGTTGTGCTATTATTACTCTTTCTTAGACACCTACCTACTCCTTATCCTTTTATCTCACTCCTGTTCTATCACAACTTCTGACATGTTTATATTCGACTCATTTAGGTGCTTTTTTTGTCGAGTTTGGTGTGGTATCATCACACATACTGTTAACTTTGCCTCCCCTTCCTCTAGATCTGCCGGAATTGCTAATTCGGCATGGACCTCCTATCTGAATAATCTCATTTGCCCCGAAGCTTGGTTTCTTATCTTACTGGCTGTCTGATTTCACTCGCTTCCAGATGCATTATACGTTTTACTCCAGGCACTATTTATCGTGGCCTGCCATAAACCTTTGGTAGCGCGTATACTGTGGTCTTACCGAGCAGGACTCCTAGGCTAGGATTCCCAAGCTTGCAGGCATTATCTCAACTGATCATCTCCTTGACTCAACCTGTGTACCCTGAGCAAACTGTAAAAAGCCATATGTGGTCTCGTGCTGCATCTCGAGTGGATTTCCAGTCAATTTGGCTCCAATCTACTAGCCATAATGCCGAATTTTTGTAATAGCTGTGATTATAGATAGTCTTATTCCAGTGACTGTGAAAACGAGACCAGATCACATATATACAGTACAAGAAAACTGCGATCAAAACCGAGGCCACAAGAGCTTTGTCTTCATATCAAGGACTAGAAAGTCCACACGAATGAAAATACATTTTGCTCTTCTAAGACATTTTGAGCAGAAAAGTTCC